ACTAACAATTGGTATGAAAAACGTCAGTCAGCATTTCATTCAATGATAAATTGTATTTGCTGACAAGGTCATTGTATCGACCATAGAATTTACGAAATGATGACTTTAAACGAGACTGTTGATATTCTTGTTTCATCAACTTGCTTGTCAATAATTTACCTCGTTTAAGAAATTGTTCATACGTAGAGCATGCTCTTGCGTATCGAATCAATTGAGATATAAATACTCCGTATGCAGGTGATGAAGGTATATTGCTGCATAAGTAAGGGAAGTTGACGATAGAGAAGTTAAAGTCATCACGTTTATCAAATAGCTTGGTTGTTAGATTACCATTAGTCAAACCTTTCGCTTTCCTCAATGATGTGTATAGTATACACACGTACACCACTGTAGGTCTAAAGATTGCACTGATGGTCAATAAAAACGGAAATATTCAATCATCATTAAAATTAAATCGATAGCATACATCACTGACCAATACGATAACAATACCCCTCACTCAATACTGTAAATACATAATACACTTGTGTTATTACGAGATTCTACGATGGCTTGCAATCAAACCTCCTACTGTTGAGGGATTTGAACTAAGTTATGTTTTAGGAACTAGCTGGGAAGGATTTGGGAATACTCTTGTATTTCACTATTTGTATAGGTAACGACCATTTGATTCGGGAGGGGGGTGGCAGACATTAGAGATTAATATGTCTTTGAAAATGTTGAAAAAAAAATACTCTGTCCACGATCTGATATATCAACACCCAAATCAGCTAGTGAAGAACAACAGAAAACATTCTGTTTTCTGTTTTATTAGGACAAAAGAGATTGAATAGAGGTATTCTATAGATATCAAAACCCCAACAGGCGGCCTGAAGTCAATTTAGAGGAAATAGAGAAACCAGAATATATTATTTATCACCATCAAGAATCGGCGGAGCTTAATCTTATTTTAATTCTTTGGTGTTCAAAAGTGACGGTCCTGTTGTTACATCAATCATGAGAGACACTGCAAAATACACGCTGAAAATAACAAGAAAGTCCTTCACGAGATTGCTGTTGCGTACCCACGTCTTGTTGATGTTTTCTTTTAAACTAAAAGGAATTTCAAGGGCGTAGCATTAGCCTTTCTTTAAATAAGTATGCGCCCTGTCAGATGTTTTTTAAGAATTTGACTCTCTTTTTCCGTATTTTTTGAGATGTTATCAATGTAAAATAGGGCAGTGAGAATGAACTTTTACCTAAATATTCCCTCCCTTTACGCAATAAAAGAATAGGGTTGGTCCAAAAGTAATACCACAACTTCGATAAAATTGCTACCAGTTGACATAAATAACAAAATTATAACTCATGAAAGCTTTATCTATATCATATCAAATCTGAAATTGTCAACGCAGTACAGTTAAGACAACATTTTCTATAAAAGGACACGGAATCCGATGTTTTTAAAGTTGGACAGTTTTATTTTTAAGCAAGACACTCAAGTTAAAATAGTTTTATGTTATCTTGAAGATTATGTCCTTGGCTTTTCACATCGATATTTTTTGACATCATGTGACCCTCTAAAGTCACGTAGGCTCAAATTTTAGGTAAAACAGGAGGCTCAGTGGCCACATTGCTCTACTGAGCAATCGGCTAGGGTATAGCACATATCAGATCAGAACAAAATGTTTACTGTGGCTTGGGGGCATGAATTTTTACCCCCAACCCCCACCCCCGGGGGAATCATGATTTGAAGAAACTAGAATTTACACTACCTGAGGATAATTCCAAATAAATATCATTTAGCATGGCTTTGAAATACTTGAAAAGAAGATTTTAAAAGGTTTCCTTATATATTATTATGTTAATTTTTGATCGGCCATTTTGGCACCATCTAACCCCAAGGGGTCATGATTTGAACAAACTTGAATCTAAACTACCTGACGATAATTCCATAGGAGTTTCATCTTTCCTGTCTCAATGGTTCTTGAAAAGAAGATGTTTAAAGATATTTCCTATTAATTTCTTTGTAAAACTTTGATCAGCCATTTTGGCCAGCCTGGGTAATGATTTTAACAAACTTGAGTTTACACTACCTGAGAACAATTCCGCATGAGTTTCATCTTTCCTGGACCAGTGGTTCTTGAGAAAAAGATTTTTTAAAAATGCCATTGATTTTTCTCTAATTCATATTTATCTCCGCTTGTTTTTTTTAGGTTACCTGAGTAAACTCAGGTGACCTATTGCTATCCGTTTTCGTCCGTCGTCGTCCGTCGTGCGTCGTGCGTCGTGTGTTAACATTTGAACATTTTCAGCTTCTTCTCTGAAACCACTAAACCAATTTTGACCATAATTGGCACAAAGCATGTATGGGTGAAGGGGAACAAAAATTGTGAATTTCATGATCCCTGCCCCCCTGGGGCCTGAGGGGTGGGGCCAAAACCACTAAAATTAATGCAATCTTTAAAATTTTTCTTCTTTACTCCTGGACATCAAGCAGTCAATCTGTTTGCTTGATTGTAATCAGCATTGAGTCCTCTACCAAAATTGTGAAATTCATGGCCCTGGGGTCAGGGGTTCTAGTGCTAGGGCGGGGCTAAATAAGTTGGTAGTGAAAATGCATTATTTCTTTGAAAATCTTCTTCTCTGCTCCTGGGTATTAAATAAACCAACTAAGTACATAGTTATGATGAGCAAGAGTGCCTCTACCAAAATTGTGAATTTTATGGCCCCGGGGTCAAGGGTTCTGGTGTTAGGGCGGGGCTCTATTGATTATATAGTGAAAATACATTATTTCTTTGAAAATCTTCTTCTCTGCTCCTGGGTATTAAATAAACTAACTAAGTACATAGTTATGATGAGCAAGAGTGCCTCTACCAAAATTGTGAATTTTATGGCCCCAGGGTCAAGGGTTCTTGTTTTAGGGTGGGGCTCTAATGATTATATAGTGAAATGCATGAATTCTTTGAACGTACACCTTATCCTTTGCTCCTGGTTAATATGCTAATGATCTAATTACACATTCAAAGGCCAGGATTTATTTTATTTTCAGTTTTATTAACCCTCCGCTCAAGGTTTAGAATTTTCAGAAAAAAACAATATTTTCTTTCCGATGTCAAATTTGAGTCGGGATCGAGATTTCGAATTTACAAAGTCGCACTTCCGGTTTTAAGATGAAACGGCGGGTAAATAATGCTAGATGTATCTGAGAAGATAGCTTGGTTAAGTGTAAAATTCATCGATTCGAGTGCCATTCAAAACGTTTCACCCGTTCAAAGGACAAATAAAATGCTGACGACTTTGTTGCACAATGACATGCTGGTGAGATAATTATGTGTTAGTTTTAAAAGTATCTGTCTGTAAATTATTTTCCTCCCCCAGGTTTTAAACTGCCAGTGGTAGTTATTGCATATTGTCAGCGACATTGTTTAGATCTCTGTTATAGCTTACAGTCTAAGCATCATTCTTCAGAAAAGGGTTGCTTATGCATCAGATGTAATGAATAAAACTATGGGAGAAGTTTAGTCCATTTGAGGAAGAAATAAACAATAGCCTGAAGAAATATAGAAAAAGTTCAACTATTAAAAGGCAAAAATATACAAATATATACAGGCATGAAGTATCATTTGTATTAATCTCAGCGAGATGTCATAGGGACTAAAATATTTGGTCGGACGTCCACTACGACATCTCAGACAGGTGCCATACAAATTGATTAGGGATTTTTTGCTCAGATTTCGGCCGCTTGTTTCAATCAATATGGGCTGAAATGAATTATCTGCTCGCTTCAACTTTTTCCTTTGAACATCCCTTTAAGTCTCTAGCACAATAAAACTTTCCTTTCTTACCTTAAAAATGTTTAAATCCAACAAAATATAAAGTTGTTTATTTTTCCTATGTAATGTCCTATTCATTTCAGAGTAGGAACTTTTTCGGTTTTTTTATGGTCAGCGGTCTATTCCTAGTCCATGATCCTTTCAAATACTAATTTCCAAAGATTAAAGCATGATTTTGTTGATGAGGTAGAAAAAGGTTGAGATAATGTCGTTGAAAATACTCCTTGAAAATTTACTACTTACTTTATTATTTCAATATACATGTACATTTAGATGATATTTTTCTTCTCAAACCTTTAAATTATCACTATTTTACAATATACGATCATAAAAATGCTAATTTGGATAAATCTATATTTTAAAAACTCTAAAATACATCTTTAGAAAAAAATATTTTCTAACTAATACAAAAGGGCGATTTAGTAATTGTTCTGTCTTGGGCACAGAAAGTTTCAACCAGTTCATTCAACAATTGACTTTTATTGAATAAATCAGGTAAAAAGCTACAATAAAAACAGGGCATATTCAAAATGGTTGTTTTCTATTGACAAACTCTTAGTTCAACTTAAATATGTAAAATGATATTGACACAAATGGCGTTCCATAATGATAAATCTTGACAAAATCGCGGGAATAGGAAAACACTTAATGTAAATAAATTCCTTACAAAATTAACATTTATGATATATACAAATATAAGATCTGACAAGAAGAACAAGAACTACAGAGTTAAATCCTATAAAAATAAACCAAAAATTGCGCTGATGAAAGTAACATGTTGACAACATAACCGACCGTAAATTATCCGTATGCAATTTTCTGACTATAAAAACTTGCTGTAATAACACTCATTTTACTTAAACAACATAATAATATCAATAAATGGTAAATAAATGGTAAATACATACATTGTTGTGGCATACAAGTTTCAAAACGGAAAGTTCCAAGTGTGGCGCTTACACATGTTTACTTATAACAAAGGGAGGTAATTCTATTTTATACATATGGAACGCAATACCTGTAATGAAATCCACCACACTCCCCACCTGATATTGAAAATATCACTAATATATAAAACATGAATTAAAAAATTCACAAGTTTCTACTTGACATAAAGTAATAATCAAACAAATTACTGCAATACATATCATGTCAACAATTTTGTTTGTCCAGAAAAGTTTAGTCTCAGTCCTCATGAATCAAAAGAACCAGTTCTGATATTGGCCTTGTGTATGTCATGGATTTGTCGTCCTTGACTATTTTCACCTCCACTTTACGCACTTTGTCGTCAGCACTTTTGATTGCGTTAGTAATGATTCCAAGCGGCCACTCACACCTTGCAGTGCTTGAGTCTTTCACAAGAACAATGTCTCCTACACAGAGATCAGGTAAGGTTTTTTGCCATTTACGCCTAACTTGAAGTGTTTGTAGGTATTCCTTTTTCCAGCGGTCCAAGAAAATATTAGCAAGATGTTGGACACAGCGCCACTGGGATTTATACATATCCTTGATGCTGAATGGTCCAAAATCTGTCGGAATGTTGTAAGTCTTCCGAGTCAGCAACATGTTTGGGCTGAGAATCATAGGGGCTTCTGGGTCTGACAACACTGGGACGATTGGCCTGGAATTGACGATGGCACATACTTCGGCCATAAGGGTCGTCAATACTTCATGAGTAAGATGTTTTGAATGTAAGTCCATGAGCATTGAGTCGAGTATCCTACGAGCAATCCCAATCATCCGCTCCCACACTCCACCCATGTGGGAGGAATGTGGGGGATTGAAGATCCAAGTCACTTCTGGTCTGATAGAAATTCCTGAACTGGCTTGTCTTCAACGCTTATGGCATTGACGTCTAGGTCATCAATCGCTCCAACGAAATTAGATCCACGATCAGATCGGATTTCTTTTACATTTCCTCTGAGAGAAATAAATCTTCTTAAGCAGTTGATGAAAGAAGAGGATGAAAGTTCTTCGATCACTTCTATATGAATGGCTCTAGTGTATAAGCAAGTGAAAAGTACAGCCCATCGCTTGCTGTTCGACACTCCACCTCTTGTTTTGCGAGTCGCAATTGTCCATGGCCCAAAGGTATCTAACCCAATATAAGTGAAAGGAGGGCAGGGTTGAATTCGGTCTGCTGGTAAGTCAGACATCAGTTGACTCTGGTATTTTCCACGTAGTCGACGGCACTTTACGCACTTGTGTAGCAGTGAGGATATTAAGCGCTTCGCTCCAATAATCCAGAATCCTGCTGATTGCAGTGCCCCAGCTGTGAAATGTCTCCCTTGATGCTTTACCATTTCGTGAAAATGGCGTATTAGTAGGACAGCTGCGTAATGATTCTTTGGAATGATAAGTGGATGTCTCTCGTTGATACTAAGGTATCCTCTCTTCAATCTACCTCCTACACGTAACAAACCGTTTTTATCAATAACTGGATTCAAAGAGATGAGGCTACTACTCCTTGGCAATGACCTATGTGATTGCAAGCACACAATCTCCTGCGCGAAAACCTGTCGCTGGACCATGCGTATAATGAGGTCTTCCGATGAAAACAAGTTGTTTGAGGCTGCAAGATCCTTTGGAGAGTGATAACTCCTAGATAGTGTTCTCAATCTGTCTATGGATCTCACTAATACTTTCCAAGTAGAGAATCTCTCAAGCCTATGAGTTATGCGAAATGCCTCAAGTTGATCCCCTTTGTCGTTGAAAGTTGTTTTAAGAGTTTCAACGTCTTTAGTCTTGCGAATTTCAACGTCATTCTCAGGATCACAGAGATGATATTCTGTATTGAGATTGTCTTCAATCGGTTCTCTGAGTTGAGGAGGTCCTAAGATCCACCTGTCGTTGATAATGTCCTCAGCAGTCATATTTCTCGTACCAGAATACGCTGGGTTATGTTTAGTTGAAATATACTGCCATTGGTCAGGTGTTGTTGATTTTCTGATTCGGTCGACTCGGTTTTCTACGTACTTATAGAATCGTCTGCTTTGGTTATGTATATAACCCAGGACAACGAGACTGTCGGTATAAAAGCGAACAGAGTTAACGTTCATGTCAAGTTCTTCATTGATGATATCATATATCTGGACCGACATCACAGCCGCACAGAGTTCCAAACGTGGAACAGAATGTCCTTTCATTGGTGCAAGCTTACACTTTCCCAAAACGAATCCCACATGAACGTTGTTTGACACATCGACTGTACGTAAGTACGCCACTGAAGCTATGGCTGTTTCCGAGGCGTCTGAGAAAATATGGAGCTCTATGGACAAGGTCCCTTGTAGAGAGACTGGTGCATATGTTCTTGGGATATGCACATCTTCTAGGAGTTTTAAGGAGTCTTTCCAATTAGACCATCTGTCCAATAGATGAGGAGGTAAGGGGTCGTCCCAATTGTGTGAACCTCTTAATGAATCTCTCATCAAGACTTTTCCAGAGACTACGACTGGCACAACGAATCCAATGGGGTCAAATATCCCGTTAATTGTCGACAATAGTCCTCGCTTACTGAAAGGCCTTTCTCCCACTGATAAACGGTATGTGAATGAGTCAGATTTCAGCTCCCAGTTCAATCCTAAGCTTCTTAACGTAGGAAGTTCATCAACACTTAAGTCAATATCACTGAAGTCCTTTGCCCTGTCCTCAGGTGGAAATGCATCCATAACATGCTTGTCGTTTGATGCTACCTTATGTAAACGCAGATTACCACCCGCCTTAGGGGCAGCTTGTGTTCGTTCAAGCAAGTCGATTGCCTTATCAGCAGTTGGGAGAGAAATCAACCCGTCATCGACATAGAAGTTTAGACATACAAAGTCTGTCACATCAGGTCCAAAGGTATCCTCATTGGCACAGGCAGCCTTCCGGAGGCAATACACAGCAACGGCTGGTGAAGGTGAATTACCGAAAACGTGAACTCGCATTCGGAACTCTATCAACTGGTTGTTTATGTCATTGTCTTTGTACCAGAAAAAGCGGAGGAAGTTCCTGTGTCTCTCGTCAACTAAAAAACAGTGAAACATAGACTCAATGTCTGCTGTTACAGCTACAGGTTCTCTCCGGAATCGCAAGAGTACACCGAGAAGTTCGTTGTTTAAATCTGGACCAGAAAGAAGTACGTCGTTAAGGGAAATGTTCTGAAACTTGGCAGAGGAGTCAAACACAGCTCTAATTTGCGACAGCTTTTTAGGGTGGTACACCCCGAAAATGGGTAGATACCAACACTCTTCTTTTTCTTTAAGAGGGGGTGCGATTTCTGCATGGTTGATGTCAAATATCTTTTTCATGAAGGACATGAAATGCTCTTGTTTTGTTGGGTCTTTCTGGAGACTGATATCCAGATTTTGTGCTCGCTTGAGTGCGTAAGATCTGTTGTTTGGTAGCGGTTGTCGCTTTTCTCTAAATGACAATGGCGCTTCCCAATTACCTTCAAAACTAAGATGAACATCTTGATCCATAGCTCTGATGAAGTCCTTATCGTCTACCGAGAGACCAACTGTATCATCATCCTTTCATTTCATGAAAATAGAAGAATCCAGATCTCGTGAATAGTGACCAGTATCTTTATTGTGGACTTCTACGTGTATGTTATTGGGACATGGCTGAAACATGGATGTCCTCCCGTTAGGAAGCAGGTAAGTTTTGTTCACTACAACTGAGTTTGGACGATGAACTTTGTTTAAACAAGATTCACCTACTATCACCCAACCCAATGTAAGTCTCTGCGCAAAGGGTGAATTTCTAGGACCTGTTCGCGGTTCTGCTACATGGTGTGCCTCTGGAATATCACGGCCAATCAAGATGAGAATCGGAACATTTTCATTAACTTCAGGTATGTCGTCTGCAATGTTCTGAAGGTGAGTATATGATTTCGCTACCTCTGGTGTAGGTTTTTCATTCCGGATGTCTGGAATGTGGTTGCATTCTATGACAATGGGTATGTCAACTGATGATGATCCATCGAGAGATGAAACAGTGAGATTTAGGGCTTGTCTGCCTAGCATGTCAGTAACTCCAGAACAGGAAGTTAACTGATAGTCAGTCATTTCACTTTCAATATAAAGCTGATCAAAGACTTCTGACTTTACTAGTATTCTGTTGCTTTGATCGTCTATTATTGCGTATGCCTTTAGTGTCTTACTTGGATCGTGGGTTTGGTGTAAGTTTACCAAAACTACTTTAGCACACGATTTCCCTGAGAATCCATCTCTGCATACCTGAGTGCATGCTGACGTTGTAGAATTATCACCCGTCTTCTCCCCACCATGCAAGACTGTGCGTGTTCCGATGTGAAGAGCTGATGGATGAGAGTGGCCTCCACACTGAGAACAACGAATCTGAGCTGTACACTCCTTATACTTGTGTTCATCAGAATTACAGCATTTGAAACAAATCTTGTTGTCCCGCAAAAAACGTTTACGTTCCTCAAATGACTTGTCTCTGAAACCACGACAGTCATTCAGACTATGATTAGCTTTGTGAAGGGGACACACTGTACTAGTTGACTTCAAATTTTCTGAATTCTGCGTGACTCCGGTTTTCTTTGTGTCGATCCATTGTTTCACTTGATTGTTTCTCTGACCAACCTTTTCTTTCACTGTGTAAGAATTTGTTGCATTCTCAGTGGTGTACATGAATCCAGGGTCATTTCTCATTTTGCTGATATCTTTCATGAATGAAACGAAACATGTGAATGGTGGGAAAACAACAGCATGTTGTTGTTTGTATTTGTACGCATGAGTAATCCACTTCTCCTGAATGTTGTGTGGAAGCTTACACAGTATGGGCGCTATACCAGAAGAAGAATTGAAGTGGCTCAACAGACTTCTGTACTTTGGACTAGACATCAGTGACTCAATCTCACAAAGTAAGTCTAACAAATTATATAATTTCACATTGTCTCTGTTAGTGAGTTTAGGGAATGAAGACAATTTTGACATCAACACAGATTCTAGCAGTTCAGGACTACCATATCGTTCGTCTAGACGTTCCCAGATTCTCTTAAGGGCTTCTGAGGGATCTGACACATTTGCTGACCTGATGCTTGTGGCGTATTTCAATGGAGCTGGTCCGAGCCATTTTGTGAGGAGATCTAGTTCTTCGGTTTTTGTTGTTTCCAATTCTTTTATTATTTCTTGAAATTGCGCCTTCCAGAATATGTATGTTTGTGGCTGGTCATCAAATCGAGTAAGTCGAGATATGAGCAAGTCTTTCTTCAAAAGAAACTGAGTAAAGTAATTTATTTGGTCATGTCCATTCGCTGAAGTATCTGGAATATTTGGCTGTCTATGAAGAAAAGCTCTATCTTGTAAAGTAAATTCAGGAAAACGTGGTTGCCTTGGAAGAAAGGCTGGCGCGTATGCATTCAGTTCGGCTGCTGGTTTCGTTTCCGCCTCACGATTTATGACCGACTGTTCATGAATATAACGTTGGGTTCTCTCCATTGGGTCAATGGGTCTCAAAGCTTCCAATCTCTCCAAATCTCGCAGCATTGGTTTTCCATCTTCATTCTCTAGTGCTTCTGCTTCTGCTTTTGTTGCTGCTACTTCCTGTTTGGTGTTTAGGAGTCTCAATTCAGCTTCGAGTTCTTTTTGTTTCCTCAAGGATGCAGCTCGAGCTACTTCTTCTTGTTCAGCAATAACTGCTTTCTGTTTCAGTATTGATGTCTCTTGTTGTACAAAGTCTAGTCGAACTTTCGCTGCCTCTGCTTTAGCACGCATACGAGCAAGTTGTGATGATGAATTCGAACTATGAGTGTTTTTTGATTGTGTTGATCTAGAGATTCTTGAACGACGTGAAGCGTATTCTAGTGCTGCTTGACGTGATTCGTTGATTTTGTCTATCACAGACATCACAGATTCCTTACATTTCTGCATGAATGAGGAGTGTTCTTGATTCTCTTTGATACTCTCTTCTGTTCTTGCCCTTGTCAGGAGTGACACAAATTTTGCGGAAGTTGAGCAATATTCTGCATAGGCTTTTGAAAGGTCACTTTCAAATGTGTTCAAGTAATCTAAGTTTGTGATGTTACTACTGAAGGAAGAGATAAGGTTTTCAACAACTGCCCATTGAGCCTCTGACTTTGTCTTATAATCTTCACGTTCCTCGTTGAAGAGTTCTGCCGCCTTTTCAGTCATAGTTCGAATCCGTTTAGAATCCTCAGGATTGAACTCGCTCTCCATTGTTGAAATTGTGTAAGACATTAGATCCAATTATAGTGATCGACGTTTCCTTTCTGAGTGACGATCAAATGTGAATCTCTAAGTCCATGCTGTGGGAACAATCTTTTTACTGTTCTGTCTTGGGCACAGAAAGTTTCAACCAGTTCATTCAACAATTGACTTTTATTGAATAAATCAGGTAAAAAGCTACAATAAAAAAAGGGCACATTCAAAATGGTTGTTTTCTATTGACAAACTCTTAGTTCAACTTAAATATGTAAAATGATATTGACACAAATGGCGTTCCATAATGATAAATCTTGACAAAATCGCGGGAATAGGAAAACACTTAATGTAAATAAATTCCTTACACAATTAACATTTATGATATACAAATATAAGATCTGATAAGAAAAACAAGAACTACAGAGTTAAATCCTATAAAAATAAACCAAAAATTGCGCTGATGAAAGTAACATGTTGACAACATAACCGACCGTAAATTATCCGTATGCAATTTTCTGACTATAAAAACTTGCTGTAATAACACTCATTTTACTTAAACAACATAATAATATCAATAAATGGTAAATAAATGGTAAATACATACATTGTTGTGGCATACAAGTTTCAAAACGGAAAGTTCCGAGTGTGGCGCTTACACGTGTTTACTTATAACAAAGGGAGGTAATTCTATTTTATACATATGGAACGCAATACCTGTAATGAAATCCACCACAGTCTTCCAAATATCAATGACGTTATGTGACGTAATTCAGCGTTTTACAGCGTTATCCTTTTAGCATTGCATTATTTTCATTTGGAGTTTTAATTACAATTTAGAAGGTATATAATGAAATATTTGATATCAAAATATTCAGAAAGACAAGCTCTTTCAGAAACGGCGAAAAAACGATTTTCGAAAATTTGGTCACGAAGGTCCCTTTTCGCTTGACGCAACTCAAATGTATGAGAATATATCTATTCAATACATAAGTAAGACGTATAAATATTTATTCTCTGAAAATTTTTATTCTCTCTCTCTCTCTCTCTCTCTCTCTCTCTCTCTCTCTCTCTCTCTCTCTCTCTCTCTCTCTCAACTTGGCAAACAAAGGGGGGTTTCAACCCCCGGACCCCCCCCCCTCTTCTAGATCCGCTAATCAGCAATCACGCAACGAACAGCTGACAAACACTTCGGCGTTGTCTCAATTATAAGCTGTCACCAGTGTCTCCGTGTTTTCATCATAAATTGCCTTTATTTATCGAAATAGTAAATTGAATGTAATTTTATCAAATTTAATACTTGATAGCAATTTAAGTGACTCGATGAAGTGTTTCCATCTGTCAGATCATCCATCTCTTTCCGGCGACCAAAATTCCTTTTTATCATCGACAATCGCACCTGTTTTAATGTCTTTTCAGCACTGATTATCAATTTTCACGAAATATAAATTCCCAGACAACAATCTTTTTACTATTACTGATCACAAGTAGCCTTTCACAAAATATTCCCTTCGAAAAAGAATCCTTCACATGGTAAATTCGAAGCGTATCCGACAATCAAGCCGATTTCCACCTTGCGCCATTTTTCAAAATCTACGACGAACGGTTAGTGCAACAATTAATATTCAAAAATATTCAATAGTCTGCAGCTGTCTCAAAGGTATATATACTGAAGGGAAAAAGAAACGCAGGGTAAACTTTTGAGGTGAATTGAATTAGTTTTTCTCAAAATACTTTTTAGTTTTCCTATCTAACTTTTAAAATCATCTTTCAAAAAGATATAACCAAATTCTAGGTTGATTTTGTGTAATTATTCATTAGTTATTGAAGCTCAAATGACGATACCCCCCAAAAAGGAAAATTTAAAACTCTCATTATCTTCAATATCCATCTCGTGCATCTGTCAGAGTCTTATTTCTCCTTTGAATGGAATTTCATCAGAGTGTTTATCTTTTAAACCCTGGCTATATTTAACATGGGTAACCACGCAAAGAAAAAATAAGTCAAACGACGCGCGCATGCGCCAGAGAGAGGAATACACCCGTAAGTTGACTGGCTCAAAAAACCAAATTGCATAATTGTTTTCTTTCAAATTTCGTGATAACAACGTGTTTGTTCACAAATCTTGTTGCATTATTTGATGCAGATGAGGTATGCACATCGTTTTTCAATATTAAGAGACATTATGAATCCCTTGCACTCTTGGCACAGTTTACGGGAGGTCAATGGGGTCTTGTTTTCGAATTGCCGAATTAATGAAAAGGGCAACAACGGTTTACTAAGAAGTTTCTTGTAATTTTTCCCCATTAAACTTGTAACCTGTTGTCAGAGAGGGTCTGGAATGGTTTTCAATCAACCGTGACGATGACGTTAACGCCAAACAGAACCATGTTGCGAGCGGGTTATTCGTCCTGCCATCTCTTAAATCGCCACCTTATTACCATAAAAATAGCCATTTATATAGTAGACGATTATAATCATTACATTCGTACGAAATTTGAAAGAAAACCATTCCACAACTTGATTTTATGAGCCAGTCAACTTACTGTTCTATTCCTCTCACTGGCGCATGCGTGCGCCGTTTGATTTATGTTTTTGCGTGGTTTCCTATGCCAAATATAGCCAGGGTTTGAGAGATAAACACTCTAATGAAATTCCATGCAAAGGAGAAATAAGGCTCTGACAGATGCACGGGAAAGACTTTGAAGAAAATGAGAGTTTTCGATTTTCACTTTTGGGGGGTATCGTCATTTGAGCTTCAGTAACTCATGCATTATTAGACAAAATCAAATGGGAATTTGATTATATCTTTTTTGAAAGATTGTTTAAAAAGTTAGATATATAAACTTAAACATATTTTAAGAAAAACAAATTTAATTCACCTCAAAAGTTTACCCTGCGTTTCTTTTCCCTGTCAGTATAATTATTTTTATTTAAGACCAATAATATAAGACCAAAACTTATCCAAAATTACGCCATGCATATGTCAAAATTAAATGTCTTCATGTACAACACGGCAATATGCTAAAAGATATGCTGCATGAACATATATAAAGGGCTTTAGAATTTTAGGGTTTTAATTTTTTTCTAATCGATTGAAAGATCAATCAATCAGTGAAACTTAGCAGAAGGATATGGAAATAACGAACAGTATATAATCTCAACGTCCATTAAACAAATATACAACATAAGAGCAGAGCAAACACGGTTTTGCAGATGAATTCGTGAAGAGGTTGGTTAATACTCAGCTTTCAAGGTTTATATTTCTAAATAGTTTTCGCCTATTTCTTTTTCTTCATTGGACTGATTAAGGGCTTGGGTTAGTATAATATTTTCTTTCCTTATGTCTCCACTGTTTTCGTCTGAATTTAATATCAATTATATTCAACTGGGTTGTTAAGTTATGATGTTTATATGAATATTTGTTCACTGTAGAGAAAAAGATCTATAAAAAAAAATTATTTTTCTAAAAACGAAAGTAGGAATAATGTGTGGAAAACCCCCAATTAATTGTTTTGTCATAAATATATTTTGACCTCGCCAAATATCGGATAATTTTATAAAAAAAACCCATGGATATCAATCTAGGTACATATACTACAGTAACATCATATTTAAGGCTTGTAAAAAATTAAATGCCGACCATTTCTACAAAATCAACAGTACTTGAGTATCTCATTTGAAATGTATTTTGTACTTCAGGTTTTTACACTAACATCGATATCCTATCAAACACTAAATAAGAAACCCTAAGAGAAACACAATCTGATTGATGATTCTCGGTTTTAGAAGAAGGCGTATAAATTATATCGATTAAAATTCGTCAGGGATCAACCAACCATAAGTGGACTCAGGACCTCTTAAGTTGCAAGCATATGCTGACTTCTACAGTCGACGTCTTACACTTTTTAATAGGGAAGCTCTTTTTAACTTTAAAGGAAAGATTGATTCAAAGTTGGCCTTATGCTATTTTCTGACAATAATCTGACGATTAGCGTTCAAAGTTTGATGATAATGATTTAAATCACAGGTATATCATAGTAATGACAAAATAAAACTCCAAAAAGGAGTCCATCAACAAACAATTAGGAGAAAAGCATGCTAAATATGCCCTGGTTTGGAAATTCAAATTGATATTAAGGAATAAACTTATAATTGAGATTACAGATAACTTGAATTCGATTCACTCGATAGAAAAAATAATAAAGAATACAGATTTTGCTACTATAAATCATAGTGCTGAGTGCACTTTGATATCCTATAACCGGTCGGCAGGGGATGCTCACTCCTCCATGACACTTGATCCCACCTCTGATGTTTCGGAGGTCTGTGTTTGCTCTGCTCTTGTTTTGTATATTTGTTTAATGGACGTTGAGATTGAACACTGTTCTTTATTTCCATATCCTTCAATTAGGCAATAGTCTACTTTAAATCAAATGAATTGAATTACAATAAATGTACTTGGGCCTTATTCTGTCGTTGAAAATCTGATTGGAAATATGATGGATTACATAGATGTTCAAGCATACGATCAAACAGCTATTGTTTCCAAACTTTAACATTTTTACAATAAAGTAGTGGACTTCTCATGACAATTTTCTTATCATTTCAAATGTTAAATCAAATTTACTGAATATACTTACCTATAAGCTGACTTTTTTACGGATTTAACTTTGGTCCAAAACGAAAATTTAAAATAAAAAAAAAATAAAAACAAAACGTGAGCATAATTTTCCAAAGCCATAAATAGAAGAAATTTAGCTTGATATATATTTTATCTTTTTATATTATCATTAAGCTGTCTTACTTGAATTAAGTGCAGATGTTATTCATTCAATTTTAGAAGGCTGTCTCAAATGACTTAGACGTCGACCCTCCACGTCATGAATACCAAATGATTCAGTACCCGATTTAAAGTGCATCATCAGTGTTCACAATGTCGGTAAACACACGTTACTACTGTAAAACCTGTAAATACGATCTGTGTCCTCAGTGTAAAGAAAGCCATTTCTTTGATCTTGATACAATATGTCATGATGTTGTTATTTACCCTTCAATCATAGTAGAAGAGACCTGCACGAAACACCCAGAAAAAATCTATGTACTGTACTGCATTTGGTGTGGGCTTCCTTCTTGTGTCATGCGTGAAGAACACAAAAATCATAATACAATAGATATTAAAACAGCTCATAAAACTTATCTCCAGCAAGAAAGAGACATTTTCAACAACTTAAGGAGTGATATTCTCTTTAACAGATGTCATCTTCTCACAGGAATCAAAAGCGATTTAAACATTTGTCACACAGAAATCTCGAACGTCCGCTCACAGATGTCAAAAAAAGCCAAAAGACTAAAACGACTAATTGACACCATAATATTGGATATTAAAATCGAACGGAAAAGCTTCATTTGTAAAACACAGCAACAGATTAGAAAAATGGTCAGCTATCTAGCTTTCATAGAAAAATATCACTGTATAAATGAACAATCAGTGAAAAGATCTGTGAAATTTCTATTATTCCTGAAGAAGACGTATGTCCCTAAAATAGAAGTGATTCCTTATGTTCATGTACTGTTTTCCAAGCCGATTGACGAAATCAGTGTGAGTGGTGAGATTAAGTTACTTAATAAAATCCAAATCATAGAGACAGGGAAAAGACAAATAAGGAATGAGTGCTTTTTAAAACTAATGTCTTCACCGGTGTTAATCAGAACTGTCACAGTGTTAGGTGTAACAAGTGTGACACACATTTCCTGCGTTGCACCAGACTGGGTCTGGGTTAGTGATAATAAAAATCTCCTTTTAACAAACACAGCAGGTGACACTCTGCATTGCTTGCTAGACGGACGTAAAAGTTACTGGGGTGTTCATACAATAAACATTCATTTCGATCTTATTTATATAGATAAATGTTATAACATTTGCAAGCTGTCTAACGATAATAGAACAAAGTCTACATTGAAAACACGAGTAAATAAATTAGACCCATGGATTCCACAGTGTGTCTACTGCTCCCTCATCACTGGCGATTTATTAGTTGGGATGTGGGATACAAATACATGGACTGGCAAGATAGTTCGGTACAACAACGGTGGACAACACATACAAACCATACTATACAGTAACACTGGTCGGGAATTGAATAGTTTGCCTAGATGTATCTCAGAAAACAGAAATGGAGATGTTGTTGTTTCTGACTTACTTCTTGATGCTGTGGTAGTGACAGACCGTGAGGGAAAGCATCGATTCTCCTACACAGCACCGCCACCAATGTCAAGACTATCACCACGTGGAATCTGTACTGATGTCCTATCACACATACTGGTCTGTGATTTCAACACAAACACAATACACATGATTGACAAGGACGGTAAATTTCTGTCCTTGATATTGACAGAACAGCATGGGATATGCGAACCACAGAGCCTTAGTTACGACGACAAAGCTCATCTTCTAATGGTTGGGTCACGGAACAGCAACAGAATGCGTACATATAGATACTTGAACAGACAGCCTTTAAATTATTAACTTAAATTGTTGATATTTTAAATGATACATGTAAAAGTTCTTTAGACATAGGATTATCTGACGAGCATGCAATTGTTACCGTATAAGCAGAATTTTTAGCGAGGATTTAATTTTGGCATTATTAGCGAGGGTGCTGAGATCGCTAAAATTAATTGCAGTTTATTTGATATAGCTTCTTAAGTGAGCATTTTTAAATCGCTTAAATTATATCTCGTTAAGAATAAATTACCAGTTTTTAAGGACAAATTGCTAAATTTACGTCTTGCTAAAATTTCCACTTATACGGTATTTGTTTCAATTCGTCTCATCCATAGCAGATATATTTACATTTGCAAATGTTTTCCTTTATATAACACTACTGAAAGCAATGCGTATCTATAACTGTATAAATACAGGTACGGGGTCAAGAGGTCATAGATTTGCGTGTAGATAAACGTTCGACGTAATTTCTCTGTGACGTCATAAAAGGTCGACGCGCATTCAGTTGATGACATACATGCCGTTGGGTTTTGAAAGATAACGCATTTCACACGTTAAAAGTCACAATCAGGCAAATATGAAGTATGAATAAGTCACAAATGTTAATATAAGTAATAAGGTATCATTTTAAAACATCTATCGGGCTATAAATACGGGTTGGTACGAGATTAAATTCATCATAAAGCCCTTCGGGCTTTATGGAATTTAATCTCGTGACCAACCCGTATTTATATCCCGATAGATGTTTAAGAATGATACCTTATTTCTTAAGTATTATTACTTCTGTGTCACGTAATACACATTTACTCAGAAGGCGGGTGTAAAGACGAATAATGGCCCCCATAGAAAAATGAATGACCATTCTTCTACGGCGAAAAATAACCCCGGCCATTCTTTATCGTTAAGACATGACCCTGGTTATCATTCGGCGTCGAACAATGACATTTTGCCCGTAGAAAATTAAGCGTCATTATCCTAAATATTTGCACACTCAACGTGAGGTAAAAAATGAGAATAACCTCCCCTTGTGGATTAAAGTTGAAATTTTAGGGGGCAAAAAAAAAAATAATAAAGAGACGTATTGGACAAATTGCTCAACTGAGCTAAATTAAGAAATGAATTTAAGATATTTTGATCTCATTAAATAATAAAATTAAATTTCGTTAAAGCCAATTAGATGATTCAGAATGTAAAGGAGTAAAGGATTTATCGAGACGTAAGGGTTAGTTGAACATTATTTTGCGATGGCGAAAAATCATTGCTCTGACAAAAATGCTGCTATATCATATATTATTAAGAAGAAGGAGGTTATATAGTGATCGGGATGTTCTTCCGTCAATCGGTGTGTACCTCTGTCCCTCCGTCCGTCTGATTCGCTTATTGATACCAATCTCCTATCAACAACTCCTCTTATACCGCTGAATGAAATTCAATGAAACTTTCACGGAATATTTCTTAAATAGTGCCATTGTGCATCACCTACTTTACTTTTTGACCGGACACATACTGCAAGTAGTTTTAATTCCATGGTGCTAAATTTTCACGATTTCTTGAAAAGTGCCAACCACGATGGTTTTAATTTCACCCTGCAAGAACTTAATTTGAATTCCGTCTGCGTATTTTTTTAAAAAACCAAAGATAGCATTTACCATGGACTTAATTTTGCGGATTTCCCATAACAAAATCTTGGGTATTGTCACTCTATCTTTAGTATTGAAGAGTTCCTATATGTCTTTTCTGCAACTCCTCCTATACTACTGAATAAAATGTAATGATACTTTCACATTTATTTTTCATGTCATTATGCACCACCTACCCGAATTTTTGATCTGACTCTCCTTTTGTTTTTCCTAGAGCAAAGCATGGACTATGCCATTATAATAACCATATGGGAGGCGGGAGTATCACATAGTGAGCTAAGTGCTCACAGTACCATACCACCCTTATACTCAGTTCAGTGTATATTTTTCAGAGAGTTTAGTAGGAAAATCAGAACGAACATTTTCATTTTTGTAAGGTTATATTCACACTGAAGCAAAATATGAAAAATTAATTGACAGTTCCTTTTTTTATGTGTACTTCTAATGTGTACCCGTGAAGTGTCTAGTAAACAAACCATACACACTCAAAACTAGAGGCACTGTAAGCTATGAGCTCACTAGATGATACCCCTGTCTTCCATATGATTATAATGGCAACGTTCGTGTTTTGTTTTGTGAAACCCGAGATAAGTGTCAGATCATGAAGTGATGGTTGTGTTAAAATGTCCACATGGAAATCGAGTGTTGTTTTTTTTATTGCCTCAATGAAGTAATTCTTTATTGATAAAAAACATAAAAGCCTGTGGCTATGTTTACAAAGATATCTTAAGATTTGTCTTAAGATGTGTCTTAGGATATATGTCTTAAGACATATCTTAAGATGATCTTAAGACATATCTTATCATGTAAATCAAAGCTGTCTTAGACAGATCCTAAGTTACGATATCATAACTTTTGTCGGATTCTAATATATTCTTTGTTTCAAAAGTACATACTGTTAAACCATAGATTTCGATTTATGTTTTTAATATTTAAATCTAACTTATGCTATATCTAGCCAAGATTGTTGTTAATTATTACAATCTGCCGTTGAACTGACATAATTTAACTATAATTTAGACGCAAATCAAATGATTGCGGGATATCATTCTGTGTTAGACTAGATCCGCCGCATGTAGATATGTGTTTGTTATTGATATAGTTTCCTACTGACCAATTGTTAACTATGAACTCGATCAAGCATGTGTAACCGGAAGTAGAACTCTTCAGTGTATAAATTACCAAAGTTACTAGCCAACTTGGCTGAAAGGAGTAAACTATCTCCAGTTATAAATGATCAACCCAGGTAAGGGGATTTCTGAACTATGGTCAACGCTAAATGAAAACACAGTTGTAAGTTTTATCAATTTAATAAAGTGAGAATTAACCGTTGTAAATGATAACAAATAATAAATAATGATCAAAATTTAACAAACAGAAAAATCTTTGAAAATGGCACAGGATAAATAAAGCTTTAACAAAAATGTAATTTAATCTGAAAAATGAATCTCAATAATCTCAATGAATAATCTCAATAAATAAATAATTGAAAAATGTAATGAAAAATGGGAGGAATGTGGCAAAACTATGAAAAATAATCTATGTCCCTACTGAGCTGCCATACTTATCAAAAAGGTGAAAAATCCTAAAGAGATAAAAAAAAAATATAAAGGGAATGAGCTACATCACCCAATATGACTTCTATCAACACTCTAGAGTTGAACTGAAAATATCAATGCTAATTCTAGGCTCTAAAAATAACTTACCCAGAAAATAAACAACACCCAACAATAAATAATAAATAGTGGTTCTAGAAAATAGACCTGTTATCTACATATCCCTAGACTAGGCTGGACTTGGAAAGGGAAACTTAATTTACTTTTAATAACCTACATCCTAACCTATCAAAAAGTGCTCACTCAGCACGTGCTAAAAGAAACCTATAATGCCGTGTACCTTGAGGTAATGTGCCATGAGGCTTATCCCTAACCAAGTGAAGTAAACTGCTCGAACACGGGTTTAAATACCCTAGCTTGGCCCAAAATAAAAGCCAATGACTATCAAAGATCCTAAAGCTAAGTTAACTAATCAGAACGCAGCTATCAAAAGTACTACGGAAAGACTGCCAACATGGATGACACTTCCTGTTTAAAAAGTAAAACATGTGGAATGTCAACTCATGTCTTAACTTATAAAAGACAAATAATAAAGGGCTTTTACGTAAGTTACAACTGAAAACAAAAGGTAAATAGAATTATCAAACTGAAATACCAGCAAATACTTGTAAATTATGAATTACGAAACGATGGCTATGAAATGAAAATCTAAACCACTACATGTACACATGAAACTTCACGGGCCTACCCGTGTGCTTGTTCTGATTGTCGGTTAAACCTAGGACTTTCGTAGACGATGAACCGTAAAAGAAATCCTAATTTCACGGATGCGGAGCTCTAAACTCTGCTGAAAGAAGTGGAGAAAAATAAAACCCTTTTGTTTGCAAAGTTATCTAATGTGACAACAAATAATAGCAAAAAACGAGCATGGGACTCCATTTGCGAAAAAGTGAATGCATGTTCCACAAATGGACATATACGGACCGTCGAAGAGGTGCGGAAAAAGTGGACAACTTACATGTCCGAAACTAAGAAAAAAGGAAAGATTCGCGACAGACAGGAGGAGGCCCCCCAACATCGTCGTCTCTTACTCCGCTGGAGGACACAGTAGTGGCCATCGATATCATTGGGGACACGCCAATAGACGGGGTCATAGGAGGACTGGATACGGAGGAAACCCCAATATCTACGGATTCTAGCATTCCACAAACTACTAGTAGTACCTCACTGCATTCCCCCGAAGTATCACAGACAGTATTGGCTTCAGCAAATAATTCCTCAGGTAAATTATACAAAAACAATTTAACCTTTTTTTGGTTGCTTGTATATTGTCATATATGCTATATATAAATAAGATAAAAATAATTCACACCTCAATTAAAAAAAAATCCAGATGTAAAGCAGTAAAGCTGGGGGGGGGGGGGGGTTACACACTTGTAGTACGTGTTAGTTGCAGAACTTTAGCGATATGATTATAAATATTAGACTTTGAACATATGGTAAAAGACTAATAAGCCCATATTAAACCAAACGCTACAGTTCTGCAGCTAAGTACTTGTTTGCATGTGAAAACTGGTATACTATTAAACGTACTCTATAATTTGAGAGCTTGTATCATATATATGGCACGCCAAATTCACAAAAATGAGATAAACCTAGTTTCACAATTGATAAACTAGGTTTATCGACTGTAAACTATAGCTTACAAACCGTAAACTATAGTTAACGATTCGTTAAGTATAGTTTTCATCTGTAAAACTATATTAAACGGTCGTTAACTATAGTTTACGAATGCTAATCTAAGTTTATCTGTCTGAATAAAGCGTTAACAATAGATTTTGTTAATAAACATAGATACATGTTTGTAAACTATAGTTTACAATCGTAAACTATAGTTAAGAGTTGTTAATCATAGTTTCATAAATCGTGAAACTATATTTATCAGATCGTTATCTAGAGTTAACGGTTTGTAAACTATAGTTTACAAATCGTGAAACTATATTTATCAGATCGTTATCTAGAGTTAATATTCAGAAACGAGAAAAGAAAATCTCCTCTAAAGATTCTAAAAATAGATTAACGTTGTTAACTATAGTTTACAGTCCGTAAACTATAGTTTTCAACCGATAAACCTAGTTTATCCACTGTGAAACTATGTTTTGCTCATTTTTGTGGATTTGGCGTGCCATACATATATATATTGCTGAAGTTATTATCTCATTTGTACATATACATTTAGACACCACTGGTTCTAAGAATACTCAGAAACGAGAAAAGAAAAACTCCTCTAAAGATTCATACGGTGAGGACTCGCTGGAAATACAGAGAGAAATCCTGAAAGTGGATAAAGAAAGGTTAGAGGTGGAGAAGAAACTGCTGGAAATTGAACAAGCAAAACTAGTTATAAAGCAACAGAAACACCAAATATACCTGAGTAGCATGGGTATAGTTTTCACATCCCCAGAAGAAAATGTGTAAATAAAGACATTGGAGACTGAATTTATTTTAAAAAGAGTAATAGAAAGTAATTTTTACACATACTATTACTTTTATGAATGAACATGAAATGTACACAATAAAATGTTGATGTAAATGTTTCCCTTTTGTGCACTGTGCTATACATAAGTGTTTTCATATTATGAGAATCTCCCTCTGATTAGTCTGTTTCTAAAAGTTAATCCATCATTAAGATTTCCAATGTAGTTTTGTCCACCTATCCTACCATTATCACATGGATTAAGACAATCATCTGGTAGGGGAACCTATTATTGATGCACATGTTATGTAAAACTGACGTGGCCACAACAATCTGACACGTTTTGCACGGTGAGTAGCATAGAGTTCCGCCGCTTGTATCCAAGCATCTGAATCTAGACTTCAGCACCCCAAACCTACGCTCAACTGTGTTTCTCGTCCTAATATGTGCGAAATTGTACCTTTCTTCTGCTGGTGTTGTACGCTGAATCACAGGAGTCAAAAGCCATGGACGTAACGGATATCCACTGTCTCCAAGAAGCCACCCTTCAGAAATTTCTCCGTTTTCGAACAAATCTTTTAATCTACAGTTTTCAAGAACAAATGCATCATGTGTGCTGCCTGGCCATTTTGCAACAATGTTTAAAAAACGCAAATTGTAGTCACACACTCCTTGAACATTGATTGAATGATAATTCTTTCTATTAACAAACAAATGTTCATCGACTGTTGGGGATTTAATTCTTACATGAGTGCAGTCTATTGCACCAATAACATTAGGAAAATCTGCAATATTATGAAAGCTTGGCATAATTTCTAACAGTTGAAGTCGAGAGGTTGGCATTTTTATATACTCGGGTGCTATTCATATCAAGCAGTTTGAAACATCTTTTATTATTTTGGACACACTTGGGCGCGATATTCTATGAACATCAGCTGTTACGGCCTGAAAACTCCCCGTTGCATAGAAGCGTAAAGCGACCATAACCTGTAAGGACACGGGCATCGCGTGTGACCTCAAAGTAGGTCGATGAAGGTGAGGTTCTAAGTCCCTGCAAAGGCCTGTGATCAAATGTCTTGGGAGTCTGTACTTACAGATTATATCATCGTCATCAAGATAATCTAGCGGGTTGTCAATATCCCTAAATACTCGCTCACGACGTAAACGACGTCTTTGTAACAGGTAGTGGTAAACGACAGCCATGTTTAGGAGTTCTAAGATAGTCTTAAGACACCTCTTGTGGTGTCTTTTCCGAGACTAGCTTTCTGCTGTTGATTTAGTATGGATTTTTTAAATCCAAAAGCCGTTTCTCAATACTTTCCTTTTTGAATTGCATTATGTTCGATTCTACCTACCGTACCCTCATCCCCCCTTCTCCAGGTTTCAACGTTTTTAAAAGCGCTTGAAATCTGTCATTGAAAAATAGCAGCTGTATTGCACAGGCGGCGCACTGCACAATGCTCAAATGTTTCGAACTTGAGGTCAATCCTTTAGAAATGCATGATTTATAAATATCTACCTAATATATTAAAACAATGAATGGTTGCTGTAAATGCTTTTTCCCGTCCTCGGTATATTAAAACGGCAGAAGCGGTTTTTTCCCTAAGTATTATAAAAATAAAGGAAACTATTTGGGACAGAAATTGTTGTCAAACTGACACTGTAACTTTGCTTTTCTATTTGAGAGGAAAGAAATAATCTTAAAAATGGGGATATTAATTTATTATTGTTGAAAACTTGTACGTGTACAAACTTTGTGCGTTTATCTGGTATTAAATCATTTCTTAAAACTTAAGATATTTTACATATCTTTTTTAAAATTCACCGTGTATATCCCAACATGCGTGGTGTATACTATGTTGTGCGCGGGTGTATGCTTCCGAAGCGAGAGAAAGGGGGTCAATGTAGGTTCTTTGTCCATTTTCACAACTTACAGATATTTTTCACCAGAAAGCATATGCGTACGGAAGAAAGCATTATCTAAGTAGAATATGGATACCTATGAATCCACTGGAAACCTTCTAGTTTTATCAAACACCTCAACACAATTCCGAGAATTGGAGCAAGATTGACGCTACACTGTTTATGATCAAATATCAGAAGAAAGCTTTGCTTTATCGTCACTTTTATATTATTGTCAAATACATGTTTACTATATAAGCGTTTGTACAAATTGTCTGTTAATAAAACAGTTCGTTTATAAAGATATTGACGAAAAATCAATGTTGTGTCCGGGGTGTATGCAACATGTTGTACGCGGGGTGTATACCCAATATTTTTCTTAGGATTGTTAGTGCGAAGTATCTATGGAAATATTATTTACACAGGTTTATAAGCGACAGGTAGTGTTGATTAAAGACCTTAATACTAATGCCAAACCAAAAGGTAAAGTCCATAAACTTACTGAAGTGTAAAATGAATTAACTCAATTTAAAAAAAATCAAAAGAATAAAAAAAAATTAAAAACAAACTATCATATTCAAACATAATAGGCGCTAGGAGCGATTGTTATCTGAATTAATGCGTAGATGGCGCAATGGTCTAAATCAACGATCATAAAATATAAAATATCTCCAAAGGGGCCCTCCCCCCATCCCTGCATTGAGGACACTTTGTCCTTTCTTCGGACCATTTAATCTAAATATTTCGCCTGTTAAAAATAATAGAAACACTACATGAATGGTGTATTATGCATAAATCTCTTTTTTTTTGTTTCTGCAAATTTTATGTTATCAATACATGTATTCTTAAGCATTTATGACAGTGATATAGAATCTTTTTTGGAGGGGGGATACCTGAAAAAAAAAACAACAAAAATCCTTGACATAAGTTGACTAGTTATAAAAAAAAAAAAAGGGGGGGGGGTTATCGTAACTCAAAACTCCTATTTCAGATGAGATTGGAGGTCCCATCTTTTTTTTTACTTAAACATACTACATAATCATTGTTTGACTATGCTGCAATAAAAAGGGGGGGGGACAACTTGACTTTCGATGAACATTTTCTGTAGTGAAAAGTTGTGTCTGGAACAAAAAGGGGGTGATACTACGTGTTTGTATGATATCTTAAATGAATTTGCCTTTCAATTTTTGCAATATGTGGACTCATTTTTCCTTACATTGTATCTGAAAAGATTTCATATTTTACAAATTACAATAAACATGTAAAACCAGCTATAAAAATGCACATTTGTACTAACGGACGACAATTTTCTGAGGGCATGCACAATTGAAAAAAAAAACTGTTTTGGGTACAAAAATTACAATTTCACGTTGACGTGTAATTAATATCAATTAATGTTCACCCCTCCTCTAATTTATTATCGTATATACACGTAGTAAAGTCCCCCCCCAAAAAAAAAAAATGACCTAAGACACAAACACCCCCCTCTCCTAAAAAAAAATATGTACTCAGTACAATTAGCCTCAATTTAAAACAAATAGTTTACTGCCAAATGTGAGCTCCTGGGGGCAAAGTACACAGCATATAAATACTACAAGAAGAAAAACATTTTTGCGGTGTTTATGACATTACAAAAAGCTAAATATTTTCAATAAAAGGGGTGTGGAGATAACAAACAGTATTCAATCTCAAAGTCCATAAAACAATACAAAACAAGAGCAGAGCAAACACGGACCTCCGAAACATCAGATGTGAGATCAGGTGGCATGGAGGAGTGAGCATCCCCTCCCGACCGGTTACAACCGCTGCGTGCTCCTTGTCATGATCGGGAAATAACAAAAAAATCCGTCGTCAATTCAGTGAATAAATAATGGACTACCAATTAGTATGAAAAACGTCAGTCAGCATTTGACTCAATGATAAATTGTATTTGTTGACAAGGTCATTGTATCGACCATAGAACTTACGAAATGATGACTTTAAACGAGACTAATGATATTCTTGTTTCATCAACTTGCTTGTCAATAATTTACCTCGTTTTAGAAATTGTTCTTACGTAGAGCATGCTCTTGCGTATCGAATCAACTGAGATATAGACACTCCGTATGCAGTGTCATTTAATAAATGTTGAAAAAGGTTAAACAGAAATTAAGAGAAAATGTTAAATGTTCAAAATGATGCATCAGTGAAGCATTTATTAAGGAATGATCTAATAAGGTGTCTTTAATTCGAAAAAATGAATTGTTGTTTATCACATAAAACAGTTAAACAAAGAACCCTGTACATTTTCTTCCATGTGCATGCAACGCCAAAAGTGAGATGAACATGTATCAATTTTTTTTCCAGTAAATCGAATTCATGAACCTGAAGTTGTGCTATTACAAAACTGGTGAATAATTTTAAAAATAAATATAACTTTCACAAAAGTCAATTGTTAAGAAAACTTTAATGATATTTCAGACAATATGATACTATAGAGTAAAGAGAGGGGTATACACCCCGCGTACAACATGTTGCATACACCCCGGACACAACATTGATTTTTCGTCAATATCTTTATATACGAACTGTTTTAATTATAGACAAATTGTACAAACGTTTATATAGTAAACATGTATTTAACAATAATATAAAAGCGATGATAAAGCGAAGCTTTCTTCTGATATTTGATCATAAACACAGTGTAGCGTCAATCTTGCTCCGATCCTCGGAATTGTGTTGAGGTGTTTGATAAAACTAGAAGGTTTCCAGTGGATTCATAGGTATCCATATACTCCTTAGATAATGATTTCTTTCGTAGGCACAGTGGCGGATCCAGAGGGGGGGGGGGGTATGGGGGTTCCAACCCCCCCTTTGGATTTGCAAAAAAGAAAGAGAAATAAGAAAGTTCCAATTTTTTGTTGTGTTTTTACTATAGAAAATGTAAGGTGAAAGGCTAATGTAGTATATAAAGAAATTCGGTTGTAAAAACAAAATAAAACCCCATCCCTTTACAAAATAGGATTTTCAGGTTCGGAGATTCATTTTCCTTTCTTTTTCAAAAAACTTTCTGGTAATGTATACAAGTACTTTTTCCCAGGTTGATCAACGTCCCACTTTC